TTTATTTAATTCTGTATATTTCTGTAACCTGAATGCTACTGTTAGACCTAAACGGTTCCCTAAATGAATTCAGGTCCTGAGTTTAGTTGATAATATTGGTTAAATAAATTATAATATTCAGTGATGTGATATGTTCTCTGCGTCTGGCACAGTCGCAATGCTTTCTATTTGTTTTAATAATAAGTAGCATTAATAGTCATTAATTTTAGTTAACATATGCTATGATAAATTTGAACATAGATTTTTATTCTTATTTTACATGTATACTTGTAATAATAATGGAACATTAGGTCATGAATATTGTAAAAGTCATGGAAATTTATTGGTAAAAATGTGTACGAACCCTGAAGGTGAAATTTGGAATAATTTTTAGGCTGTTCTTTTCCATTCAACTAAAGCATAGAGAAACCTATGGAGGCCAATTTCTGCCACTGAATAGAAATAAAAAATAAAAAAAGGTAATTGCAACTTTTTATCTTACATTTGACTTTTTTTCTCGCAATTCTGACTTTTTTTTCTCTGAATTACGTGATATAAACTCGCAGTTGCAAGTTATAATGTCAGAATTGCATGATAGAAACTCACAATTCTGAGCAATAACGTCAGAATTTTTCCTCAGAATTGGACTTTGACTCTAAATTATGAGTATATCTCACAATTCTGAGAAGAGAAGTCAGAATTGCAAGGTATAAACTCGGAATTGCGAGAAAAAAATCTCGCAATTCTGACTTTATAATGTGCACTTGCAACTTTATAGCATGCAATTCTTAGAAAAAAAATCTGAATTGTGAGATAAAAATTTCCAATTACTTGTTTTTTTGTATTCAGTGGTGGAAACGGGCCTCCATAGAAACCAGTCAAGCTTCAAAAATTTTTTGCTGTGGAGTCCAAACTGGTGTGACATGTCTCGATGCCCCAAATTCTAATATTTTTAAATGTATTGAGTGAACTATTCCTTCAATATCTGATTTTTTGCTCATTATGTTTGTACCCTTTTACAATTTTAGCCATCTTAGAGCTCATTTGTGATGTTAGAAAACTATTTCAGTTCAGCTTTACAAAAACTAGGGCATATCCGACTGTAGCACAAATGTGTGTCCTCTCTTTGTGTTTTTTTTTAGGTGGAGAACATCTTACTGCATGACAGAGGACATTATGTGTTGTGTGACTTTGGCAGTGCCATTAACCGCTCCCAGAACCCACAAACAGAAGGTGTGGCGGCTGTAGAAGAAGAAATCAAGAAGTGAGCACTGGTTTATTGGTTTGCACACCACGGTTTTACGTGTTTGTATCAACTGAATCTTATACTCTGTGTGTGTGTGTGTGTGTGTGTGTGTGTGTGTGTTAAGGTACACTATAAAAATCTTCTAGAAATATATATATATATATATATATATATATATATATAAAATATTACCTTAATATAACAAAAAGAAAAAAAAACTTTTTTATTTTAATAAAATTCATTTTCATTCTTTGGGACAATAAAAATCAATTTTTCAAGATTTGGCAAAACCTGTACACTTTTTTTATTTATTTATTATTTTTTTTTACCTGTACACTTTTATATTTTGATTTGTTTAATTTCTCCCGTCTCAGGTTACATGCTTGAGCCAGACCCTGACATAAGGCCAGATATCTACCAGGTGTCATATTTCGCCTTTAAACTGGCACGGAAAGAATGCCCAGTACAGAATATCCACGTAAGACCTGCTCATTCATACTGTAAAGATCTCTCTCCCTGTTTGCTGTGCTATAACTACACAAGCTACCATGTGCATTTGCCCTGATCTTCTCACCCGTTTTTCACACTCTATAGGGTTTTTGTTCTTTATTTCAGCACATACTTCTTAATCTATGTTTAATTCATGCCTATCCCTAGATATCGTAAGTGCTTGCACAGGAAGTGGATTGTCGCTCGTGGCTGCCAGGTGTGTGTGTGAGTGTGTGTGTGTGTGTGTGTGTGTGTGTGTGTGTGTGTGTGTTAAGGTACACTACGCTTTCATACCGGGCCCCAGAAATGGTGAATCTATATGGGGGCAAAGTTATCACTACTAAAGCAGATATATGGGTGAGTCAAAGAGGTGAAGACTGCTAGAGAAAAATTCAGCAGCAGCCAAAGATTTCTTCTCTGTAGTTGATTATTGGTAAATATGCATAGCATTTTGAAACATCACAAAGGATGTTTAATGACTCTTGCTCATTTGTGTCCTCAGGCTTTGGGCTGCTTGTTGTATAAGTTGTGTTACTTCACTTTGCCGTTTGGAGAGAGTCAGGTGGCCATCTGTGACGGGAGCTTCACCATCCCAGACAACTCCCGCTACTCACACGACATGCACTGTCTCGTCCGTAAGTCCCGCTGATGATTGCTTGTCTGTCATGCAGAATAAGGCAGTAATATCTGCTTTATAAGTACTAATAAACAGCCAATATGCTAGTAATATGCATGCTAATAATCAACTAGTTAATAGTGATCCTTAATCGAAAGTGTTACTGTATTCTCACTTACATAATTTGGTAAAAATTACAGCTTGATTGGAAATAATGTCAAAAAATATTCTGTTCACATGTGTAAATGTATGTATTAATAAAAATAAAAGTATTATTAGGGACAAAACTGACAACTAAGGACAGTCATCATTTTTTGAAAAATGCAATTTTTCACACATTAAATATTAAAGTAGTTTGTTTTTCAGTCTTTGTTTAGATTATTGTAGATTTAAATGTTTTGTATGAAAAAAAAATATTATGCACTCTACTGTTCAAAGGTTTGGGATCAGTAAAATTATTATTAATTTTGTATTGTTCCTCAAGGATTAAAGCTAAAGCATTAAATTAATCAAAAGTGACAGTAAAGACATTTATAATGTTACAAAAGATTTCTGTTTCAAATAAATGCTGTTGTTTTGAGCAACATTTATCCTGAAAAAAAAAATGCAGCAGTTTCCACTAAAATATTATGCAGCTTAACTGTTCTCAACATGGATAATGATAAAAATGTTTACTGACCACCAAATCAGCATATTAAAATGATTTGTGAAGGATCATGTGACTTGAGTAATGGCTGCTAAAATTTTTGTAAATTATTTAAAATATATTAAAAAAGAGAAAGCAATTTTAAATTGTAATAATATTTCACAATATTCCTGTCTATACTGTATTTATTGTACTGTTTATATCAAGTAAATGCAACCTTGGCGAGCATAAGAGACTATTACAAATAGTTAAATATTAATAGACAATAGACAAATATTAAACCTATTGAATGGTAGTTTATTACATTTATAGTGTATTATGAGTAAGGAATAATTGACAATGGGCCGTTGAATTATTAGAAAACGTTTTTTATTTTAATAAAATACATTTTCATTCTCTGGGACAATAAAAAATATTTTTTTTCAAGATTTAGCAAAACTATTTTTCACCTGTACACTTTTGTGTTTTGATTTGTTTAATTTCTCCTGTCTCAGGTTACATGCTGGAGCCAGACCCTGACATAAGGCCAGATATCTACCAGGTGTCATATTTCGCCTTTAAACTGGCACGGAAAGAATGCCCAGTACAGAATATCCACGTAAGACCTGCTCATTCATACTGTAAAGATCTCTCTCCCTGTTTGCTGTGCTATAACTACACAAGCTACCATGTGCATTTGCCCTGATCTTCTCACCCGTTTTTCACACTCTATAGGGTTTTTGTTCTTTATTTCAGCACATACTTCTTAATCTATGTTTAATTCATGCCTATCCCTAGATATCGTAAGTGCTTGCACAGGAAGTGGATTGTCGCTCGTGGCTGCCAGCTGGCACACATCCAGTGGCCCCTCCCACTCTGAGCAGTATTGATAGCATAATGGAAGCATTGAGTCATGATCAAAGACATATTAACATTGACACCCGCAAATGCTGTTAAGAGTTCAATACAGGAATGACCTCCATAAAAACTTTTTTTTTTATGTTATTTTGCCGTTTTTCCTGACATAGGGATGTTTGACTCAGACTGTGTCTTCAAATAAATATTAAAGCTAATCATGTGCTTTCATTACACATTTGTGTTTGTGCCAACAACATGCACATCTTTTGTTGTTGAGGATGTCATCTTCACTTATTTTTTACACATTCATGGAAATTAAATTATGTACTTAAGAAGGATGATTTCATAGGATGTGACACTGGCACAAAAAAAACACCTCTATGTGTAACTCTCTTAAATAACAATACAATTAAATTAATTAGATAACTTATTTAATTAACTTATAACTTTGAAGTCAATCTGAAATAAAAAAATGACACTGAAATACTTTCTTCATGTTACTGGTGTTCATGCACAATTAATTGGAGTGTGTTAATATTTTGAATTCACTTTTATTTTTATATTTTCATTTATTTTAGTTCAAGTTTTATTAATTTTGTTATGCACTTTTGTAATTTTTATTAGTTTCTATGGTAACACTTTACAATAAGGTTCCATTAGTTAATATTAGTTAATGTATTAACTAACATGAATGAACCATGAACAGTACATTTATTACAGCATTTATTAATCTTTGTTAATGAAAATACAGTCGTTCGTTGTTAGTTCATGTTAGTTCACAGTGCATTAACTAATGTTAACAAGCACAACTTTTGATTTTAATAATGCATGAGTAAATGTTGAAATTAACATTAACTAAGATTAATAAATGCTGTAGAAGTATTGTTCATGCTTAGTTCATGTTAACTAAAGTAGTTAACTAAAGTAGTTAACTAATGAACCTTATTGTAAAGCGTTACCAAAATGGTTTTAGTAATTTTAAAGGGGACATAGGATGCCCATTTTCCACAAGTCGGTATGATTCTTTATTGTCTTCATGAAATGTCTGCACCATACTTTGGTTATAATTCCTCCCGTGGGCCGTTGACACAAGACCCGTGAATATATCCGTATATGGCTCAAAGGTGGTCTTATTCAAATAGCTAGCTATCTACATAGAAACTGGCTGCAGGTTGAAACAGCTTGCTGGATGACACAGTTTCAGACTCAGACAGCCAATAACAAACTGGCTGCATGTTTTCTTTTCAGCTTTTTTTGTGCTGGCAGACACGCCAGAAACCTAACTAAATGCAAAACAAGCTAAAAAAGTGAACATTTCATCCGATGTTAGTTAGTTGCCAAGATAACATTTCTACTTTATATTTAAGTTTTTTAAGTGTACGTTTTTTATCAAATGTTTATATTTTATTTTATTTCAGCTTTATTTCAATTAACTATAAAAATTGTGTGTGTGTGTGTGTGTGTGAGAACGTGTGTGTTGAGTTTCACTGGAATGAGTTGATAATGTTTCATGTTGACTAAAGACAACCAAATACTAAATGCAACAAAGTTTTTTAAGTGTACGTTTTTTATCAAATGTTTATATTTTATTTTATTTCAGCTTTATTTCAATTAACTATAAAAATTGTGTGTGTGTGAGAATGTGTGTGTTGAGTTTCACTGGAATGAGTTGATAATGTTTCATGTTGACTAAAGACAACCAAATACTAAATGCAACTATATCCCTCTCATTCCACTAGAATTCACCCATTCCAGCAAAACTCCCAGAGCCAATCAGAGCCAGTGAAGCCGTGGCTAAGAAGAGTCAAAACAAAGCCAGGTGAGGCTGTCATTTATCTGTGTGGTCTCAGAGGTTTGATGTGACTTTGCATTTTATTACATACTATTTTCTTTAGTTTTAGGATGCATATAGTTTTTTATAGAGTGGTAGTTCTGATTCGACTTGAACTTTTCTGGTCATTCAGGCTCTCTGATCCAATCCCTACGACTGAGACATCCATAGCGCCACGGCAGCGTCCCAAGGCTGGCCAAGCTCAACCAATCGCAGGCATCCTGCCCATCCAACCAGCCCTCACCCCACGGAAAAGAGCCAGTGCACCTGCAGGACCCAGCCAGCCAATCAGTGAGTGTTCATTCATCCACCTTCATCCAAAATCAAACACTATGTAGGCGTCCACATTGTAACAAACTCATACGTGTGGCTTCAGTCCTTCATGCACGCTCGTTTTTTTTCTCTCACTTTTATTCTCTTCTCTCCCTCGTTGCATTGACCGGCATGTGTCTTTGGCTGACACACGAGGCTCTAGTATTCACACTGGCTCAATCAGTTTGTCATTACAGAGAGCTTTTAAAACCTCACTAATGAGCCTGAGCTATTGAGCCCCTGACACACTCAATCCTACCGAGCTGTCGTTTCACTTCCTATTTCTGAAGTCAATGCTAATTAAAGCCCCACATGTATTACTGATAACGAATATCCCTGTGTATTGTTATCTTCCTGTAATGTTTTAGCATCAGATTATCTGGGTCTGGATAGTAGTACTTTGTCTTCACTTAGGATGACAAGTTTCATGTTCATCATGTAATTTATCATCGCTGAAAATGCAAATGCTGCACACAGCAACAAAATCACAACCACAAAGAAAAATTTTTTTGTGTGAGGCTCTGTAGTCATTGGACTAGTTTCACATTTGTTCCTCGTCTCGTCTTGCAAGTCCGAAAGTGGGGATTTTAGGGGTCTGTTGTTTTTGCTTGTTAATGTTGTGTTTCTATTCTGTTATTCTATTGGTTCACAGGTGTTAACATGGCTTCCCAGCCTGTTGCCCAATCGCAGGTTCCTGTCACTCAGCAACAAGCCACTCCCTCTCCACCCCAGCACGCACAACTTTTTGTGCAGCAGCAAAATACAGCCTTCTTTTCTGCTCAACAACAGGTAACTGCTACATGAACCGTTCTGGAAATAATTTTTCAAAATGAAATTATAATTTAAAGTCAACATGAAATAAGATTTGAACCTATGTACTTGCTTAATATATGTCTTACTGTGAACAGTAGACCCCCTTAATCCACTGTAAACTCAGATTCAGGTCTGACTCTGAACACTCAATTTTCTTGATCCTATCAAATCCAAATAGATGATTTTTTTTTCTCATTGAATGCCTGATTTTGCGCAAATATGTCACATTATGGAAGTAAATGGGTTGTAATTGCTGTTTCATGTGGATTTAAAATAAATCATCTGGGAAATGCTATGTGGTAATTTTCATTATGGGTTTTTACATTTTTGTCCAATGTGATGCCAGTTGTTGCACTTACCTCCTATTTTAGCAGCATCACTCAACGCAGACCTCCGTCTTACCTGCACAAACGGTTGCATCATCCTCCACTCCTGTTTCTACACAGTCTAAACCTAAGAACAGGGCTCCCCCTCCACCCATACACCACCCTCAAACCAACCGCCTGACAACATTATCAGCAACCGCACAGACAAAAAACAAAGCGACGGCCTCAGCTCCGCCTGCAGAGTGTTCACATAGTAATAGTGTAGATGGAGATATCACTGCGACCGTGTCTGCCCAACCTAAAACCAAAGCTATGGCACCTCCGCCCCCCGCATCACACGCCTCCACCCTTCCTCCGCCTAAATCCACCTCAGCACCATCCACTGACTCTGAAGTGGACCCAGAGCAGAGGGTAACCCTCAGAACATCTGTGTCTGCTCTGTTAGAGTGATTTTTTTCTTGCTTTCTAAAATGTTTACACTCCTCTTGTTGGTTTGCCTTGCATCTTAAAGGGATAGTTCACCCAAAATCGCGATGTCGTCATCATTTACTCACCCTGTATAAATTTCATCTACTGAACATAGACCAGAACAGTTTCTAGTCCCCGTTGACTGCCATAGTATTATTTTTTTTTTTTAAGTCAATGGCTACCAGCAACTCTTTGGTTAGCAGCATTCTTCAGAATATCTTCTTTTATGTTTAACAGACATAAAATTCATGCAGGTTTGAAACAAAATGAGAGTGAGTAAATGATTTTTGTGAACTATCCCTTAAACTTCATTGTTATGATTTTTGGGTGCAGTTTTTCAAATTATTTCAACATTGTAATGAAATCAGTAGGTGTTGACAGTTACTGTATAATTATGCCTGCAGGGCAAGGTGTCATGTACAACACAGGTGGAGGTGTTCTTTCTAATAGACCTTAGTCAGGGTGGACGCCATATTGAGTTTTACATGGATGAAAATAAGGGATATATATACACATATATAGGCATATAGGATCAGTAATTTCCCAAAATTGTCAAAATTCCTCGTTTTTATTCGTCAAAAATTAAATATGCTGCTACACATCTTTTAACAACCTCTTGTTGTTCCAAAGCCATATCATCTTTGTTGTTCTTCCATAAAATACAAAAGGATAAGTTGAGCTGAATGTTCGCACTGCCTTTTTTTCCAATAAAGTAAAAGTATTTCAGTTTCAGAAGTCATTTGATAGCGTTGTGTGATAAACATGCAAAATTGAAAAATGTCATTCTCTGCCCAAGTTTAATTTTTGTTCATATATTCAAACATGTCACATTAATATATTGTGTGCCGGGTTTAACATCCTTTAAACACAATGCTATTGGTCAGGATGTGGCAATGAATATGCACAAGCCCAAAGGAGATTTGAGGGCAACGGCAGAGGACAAGATTTTCGTTGTATAATGACCTACATTTCAGTCTGTTCTTCACACAAATCCTCTGGCTTCTTCCATGGTGCTTTATGGTGTTTTTTGTCATTTTTGTAGCTCAGCAACCCCAGAATCACTTCCATTGTATGGAAAAAAAGAACCCAGGATAATGATGTAAAAAAGAAGATTTTATGGATTTGGAATGACATGAGGGCGAATGAATTAAAGATTTTAATAGATGAGATTTCTCTTTTAAAATGAATGGAAATGACCGATCCATCTGATAACAGACATTTCACCTTTCAATCCTTTTAGATATTTTCTCATTTCACAGATCAGCTTTTTTCAACAAGTCACTGAGATATTAGATTTGTCTTTTTTTATATATCTGAAGCTCTTTCTACACCTTTCAAAGACCACCACCTTCTCTAAAGAATGTCTCTTTTGATATTTCAGAAATTAAATTCTCTAATTAATATCCTTCAGCTTTCAAAGTGTTTAATGTTGCTCTGTCTCTATACCTTTCTTTCTGTAAAAGTCTGTCGGCGGAAGTCGTGGGGTGCATAAAGTCGGCTCCTTGACTCCACCCTCTTCTCCCAAGACCGCCCCTAAAGGAGGCCACAGGCGAATTCTGAGCGATGTCACACACAGCACCATATTTGGAGTTCCTGTGAGCAAGTCCACTCAACTGCTTCAAGCTGCTGCTGCAGAGGCCAGCCTTAACAAGTCTAAGTAAATCAAGGAAATACGTAATCAATCATGTTATAGTTCAGTTTGAACCATTACATTGTCCAGCATTGAGCAAAGACAAAAATAAAGCACTAAATTTTAGTAGTGATAACTGAGTAGCAAAATGGCAACATTAGGGCCATTTAAATGGTCATATCATGAAAAACTGGATTTTTCTCGCTCTTGATGCATGTAGACATTAGATTTGTTCAGAATAACATTCTGCGACATGCAGTGTGCTTAACTGGAACCTTTCATTTCCAGTATGACGTATCAACTGGAAGTAATTCAAGCCACGGTTTTTAACATCTGGATCCTCCCTGCTGAAAAGGTCTAGCTGGCATCCCAGCCTGGCAGTCAGCTGGTTTACCTGAAAAGGGCCCAAAACCTCTCTAAGACAAGCCAAGATCTCAGACAACTAAGACTAGAAAAACATCTATTTTAACGCTGTTTTAAGCTGTTTATTTGTTTATTTATTTCTTCAGCAGGGTTTATTCATTATTTTTGGACTGCTAAAGGTTTAAGGCCTTGCCACACCAAGCTGACATCAAAGAACTTGCGCCTGCTTGAGAGAAAATTACTCCAGACCAGCAGGTGGCAGTAATTTATATTATGCATTCAAAATGGGAAGCCAAAACTAAGACAAAGGGGTGCCTGCTTACTAGTGCGTTCAAAATGAACAAATCGTTCAAGAACGACCCAACACTACTGCTTACCATTTTGAATATGAAGCTTGATCAGTTGGTCTTCACTTTCTACATTCCAGACAACCATGTCTTTATGAAAATATTCACGTATTGGAATGGTGAGATAAATTAAAGTCGTGAAATTAGAAGAATCTATGTTTGCACTCTTAGGCTATGTTTACACAACGATGTAGTCAAAAACTGAAAAGTTTTTAAGAACGACCCAACACTACTGCTTACCATTTTGAATATGAAGCTTGATCAGTTGGTCTTCACTTTCTACATTCCAGACAACCATGTCTTTATGAAAATATTCACGTATTGGAATGGTGAGATAAATTGAAGTCGTGAAATTAGAATAATCTATGTTTGCACTCTTAGGCTATGTTTACACAACAACGATGTAGTCAAAAACTGAAAAGTTTTTCCTTGCATTTTTAAAAAGTCTCACGTATACACGACAACGTTTTCAAAACGATTCGCGTTTACACATCCACGAAAACGGCCAAAAACGCTGTATTACGTATGCCAGGCCAGTAGTTGGCACTTTCACCTTGTTAGTAAACAGTACCTGTTACCGTGTGCATATGATGCGTCTCCGCTGTTGGTTGTAATATTGGTGAAGTAAATCCACACTTTGCTGAAGAAGCGTTAGCAAACTCTTGAGCAGCAACAACAGTACCCTGTACTCCGCCATTGTTGTGTATGTTTGTTCGCGCTTGCCTTTAAAATCGACAGGTACTGCGCGTGTCTACATATCTAACATGTACTACAAAAAAAACAAAAACCTAACCCTAACACGTACTACGCACGTGCATGACGTCACCGTTTTCAAAGATTCCCGTATTGGGTTTTTACACGGAAATGATAACAGTGGCGTTTTCAAAAACTTGCACTTTGAAACCCGTTTTCAAAAATATGCTTTTTCAGTCCCCCAAACGCCCTTGTCGTGTAAACGAACAGGCAAAACGCATAAAAAGTTTCCCGTTTTTGGCTGAAAACGTTGTAGTGTAAACGGCCCCTTAACTTATCATTTGCTAGCTTTCATCACTTTCATTTTTTTTCTCGTTCACTAAGCTGAACAGCCAATCAGAGTGATTCCTCTTACTGGCAGCCCAGTGGCCATTCAGCATGCTCAATCGGCCAAAAAACTTCAGACGGTGGTCCAACTAGTGCCAATGTTTTGGAACACACTGCAAAAAACTGGCCCGACAGACACTCAATGATCGCCTGACTTTGGCCAGCAGCCGACTGTCGGCTTGGTGTGTCATGGCCTTGGAGTTGTATGCAAAAATCAAATTGAAAATGCAAATAGTTTATATTTCAAAGATAATAACTTGACACCACTCGGATGCAGCATGCTGAGGTCGTGTGAGAACACTGAAGTGGAGCGTTTTGAAACATTGTTATTTTCCTCTCTCTGCTGTAGGTCAGCTAGCACCACTCCCTCTGGTTCTCCATGTTCATCACAGCAGAGTGTTTATCAGTCAGGGGAGGCTTCGGGACCCTCGGCTGGAGCCACAGCATCCTGGAACCCCTTTGGCGATGACAATTTCTCTAAACTCACAGCAGAAGAGCTGCTCAACAAGGATTTTGCCAAACTGGATGGTAAAACCAATGTTTTCATATGAAATCAAGTTTTCCCTGTTCTTTTTAGCACAGTATTTATTTTAGTTACCCAAACAGCCCTCTACAGAGAGACTACAGTAATGCTGTGTATGTATGTGTCTGTATTTCCAGCTAAGACAGCAGAGAGACCCTGTCCTGAAAATCTGATTTCTGGGTTGCAGTCTGTATCTTCCAATAAAGGCTTTCTCCAGGGAGAAGGTACAGTCTATTTATCGCTCTATCTGTCTCTTTCTATGTATCTCCCAATGCTTGCTGGGAGTCTGGTAGTGCTCAAAACACAACTGCAATGCAAAATTAGTTTCGAAACAGTTTTTTTTTTTTTCCACTTTCAAAGCAACATGATGGCACAAATGCTGGAACTGTTTCAACCAGTGGGTGCTGGTGGATTTTCAGGAAGGGGGATAGTCCTTCACAATTTATGACAAACTCTGGAATGGAATGCCAATTTTTCACAATCCACATAATTCCCATTGGATCACGTCCCACCCTGCATTTTTATCTTGAATATCCTGTTTCACCAAGAAACATGCCACGTTGCAGAAGTAAAATGGGTTGTGAATGTTGATTCTTAACTTTTAAACATTCTGGCTTTTTCAGTGACTTTAAAAAGCAGTTAATGTACTTGACCTCCTCGAGCCTTCCAGAAATAAAGTAACTTGTGCATCTCACCTGCTGGCAGCCTTGCGATAAGCCTTTCCTCTTCCTATTTATAGAGATAAAAGACAGATAGGGCACTCTACTTCCACCTGCTTTCTTGGAAACATCGTGGATAAACACCGGTGTCAGTAATCAGATGCAAACTTTGATCAAAACGGTTATTGGGTGATTGAGACATTTTAAGAACAGTTTCTCTTCACAGTGATTTGTAAATTATGTACATCAAAAGGAGAATGAATCTTTCAATGAGGCTTTTTCAGTATTGCTCAAAACTAAGGTTAGGCATTTAGACAGACTTTGGTGAGTAACTCATCCATTTAACACTATTTATGCTACTGACATTAATGATACATGAATGGGATTGTTGAGGAGTGTTGTTTCTTTTTTTTAAATGGTCAGCCTTACAACTTTGGCCTGGTTGATGATAAAACTATCAAAATCTCACAGACGAAGGAGGAACCCGAGCCGTATCCAGAGAGCAGAGGTGTCCAATCCTGCTCCTGGAGGGCCCCCATCCTGCAGAGTTTGGCTCCCACACACCTGCCTGGAAGCTTCTAGAGATCGTGAAGACTTTGATGAGCTGGTTCAAGTGTGTTTAACAAGGACTGGAGCTAAAATCTGCTGGATGGAACATTAGAAAAGACAACATTTATGAATTTCAGGTCCTCATTTGTATGCTATTTGTGGAAAATGCCACAGGATAAAAGCAATTATATAAACAGCATATTCTACCACGTTGTATATAATGGCACATTATGGTACTACAGATATATTCTTTTAAATGTTATTCTCTCTTTTATATTTTTAGTGTTAGAATTTGTGTGTAAAAGAGATGCATGCATGATGATTCTCAGCAGAAAGCAGAGAGAACGGATTAACACTTGGAGGTCTTACATAAGCACAGTCTGGTAATCCTCTTTGAATCTGATGACACCAGATTGCTGGGTAAATTTAAGGCACAGGTAAACCTTTTGAGAGCCGTGGGATGCAAGGTCATGAAATTGGCAGTCAGGTGTACTCTAGCTCCATGGTGATCTATGACATGCAAACTTTTCCTGACATAATTAGTAGCCATATCTAGGGACCAATTGAGACCAGTAAGCAATCATCTTGTAACACTTTAGCAACCATTCAGAACACCCTAGAAATTGCATAACAATATGATAAAATCTACTCCGAATACCTGAGAAACTGCGTAGCTATGCCCTGGCAACCTTTCACAACACTCTAGTTGCATCTGTTTATTCAGAGCAGTTGAAGAACTTTGAGACTTGAAGAGCTTTTTTGACTTCATTCATGTTTAAAGGTTGATGGTTCATTCTTTGCCCTAGTGAAATGGGGAAAGCGAGCGTTCTGCTGTTCTGTGACCTGAGTACCCCCTCCTCTCCCCATACCCTCATCCCAAAGTCCTCCTTTCTATCACGAAGACTGTGAGTAAACTCCAGCACTGCAACGAAGAGTCCTATTCTCATCTGATCCGCATGCATCTGATTTAATGAAACGGTGACAGTTGCACCATTCCGACCGTATGCCAGTTGAACTAATAGCTTGTCTGGTAGTCGAGTGCTTTCTTCTCCTCCTGCTCAAGTTATAACCCCGAGCCTGTGAAATAAAGATTGTCTCTCTAACACAATTAATAGAAAATAGACTGTAGTATGCTAGTAGGTCATTTGGCTATTCCAAGCATATAAACTATGCTATACTATACTATGCACTGTATACATGCTGCATACTGAAGAGTGCAAGAAGTACTCTGAACACAAACACTTCCACTCTCTCTTTTGCCTTTTATCCTTCTGTTGTGTTCGTTTTAAAGGATTTTGCTGGGTTGTTCAATTAAAGTAGTTTGTGCTCTTGCATTCCTCTTTTACCAGCAGGATTCAGCATGATGAATGCTTATACTAACTCTCTTAATAAATGTCCTTTTGCCTCATGAGCAACACCTTTCACTTAACTCCTCTCTCCTCCCTCCCTCGCCTCTCCTCTCCTCTCCGACTCTGCTCCACTCCTCACTGTATCCTCCTCCTGTCCTTAGTGTTTCTCTTCTCCTTTCCTCACTGTTTCCTTTCTCCTCTCCTCTCCTCTCCTATCTCCTCTCTGTTTCTTTTCTTCATCACTGTCACTTCTCCTCTCCACACCTTCTCCTCTCCCTGATTCTTTCCTCACTGTTTCTTTTCCTCCTCACTATCTCTTCTACTTGCTGTCGCTCCTCTCCTCTCTTCTCCTCACTGTCTCCTCTCCTTACGGTGTCCTTGCACCCTCTCTTCTGTCTCTCCTCCTCTCTTTATTGTCTCCTCTCCTGATTCTTTCTTTTCCCTTCCCTCCTTCTTACTGTCTCTTCCTTTTTTCATGGTGTCCTCTCCTCTCTTCTCCGCAATGTCTCTTCTCCTGTCTCTTCTTCTCACCATCTCCTTGCTGTCTCCTTCCTGTCTCCTCCTCATTGTCTCTTCTCCTTTCATCTCCACCTCACTGTCTCCTCTCTTTTCTTTTCCTCTTCTCGCTATCCCCGTCTCATATTCTTACTGTCTCCTCTCCTCTCCTTTATCCTTTCCTCACCGTTTCCTCCTCTCCTCTCCTTTATCCTTTCCTCACCGTTTCCTCCTCTCCTCTCCTTTATCCTTTCCTCACCGTTTCCTCCTCTCCTCTCCTTTATCCTTTCCTCACTGTTTCCTCCTCTCTCCTCCTCTCATCCCTTATCCTTTCCTCACTGTTTCCTCCTCTCCTCTCCTTTATCCTTTC